TTAAGTGAATTTTAAAAATAATTAATTAATATATTTAAAATACATGTAACTTTATTTTAAAAAAAAAATATTTCTTTTATGAAGTAATTAAGTTTAAATGTGATTGTACTTGTTAAAATAAAAACAAGAGTTAGTATTTTTTAAAAATTTTAATTACTTTAATTATAAATGCATAATAGTTTAAACAATATAGTTTGGCACATTATTTTAATAATAATAATAAATAAATTTTGATTATTCATAATATTTTATGCAGAAATAAATAATGAAATAAGTATTGTTACTAATAAAACATTTTATAAAAATGATCTGATTAGAGTCAAATTTATGTCCAGAATAATTAAATATGCAGTTTTAATATTGTAATTCTAATAATTTAAAATATTAAAGTATTTAAAAACAGAACTTCAAATATTATTAACTTTATATATTTGCAAGTAAAATTGTAAAAGATTAAAATATAATATAATTTAAAAGTATTTTTAATATTTAAAGTATTATTAGTATTTAAAGTATTATATAATTTAAAATATTTTTATATACAATTATTTATAAAATATACAACATAATTAACAACATATTTTTCATTTTAATAGAATAATAAATTATTTATTGTAAAAAAATATTATTTTAGTCTTAATTTAATCGAATTAGTTTAATCGAATGAAGGAAAAGAAATTTTGAGATATTAATATGAATTACTTTTTATATTAAAATAAATATACTAATTGCATAGATTAGAATAATTTTCATAATTAATTGAATAAAAATTTTTCTGTGCATTATGATAATTAATTAAATAATTTCATAAATATAATAATCATTTAAATAATTTTTCATTTTATATTCGCAAAGATTTTTTTAACTTATGCTTTTCATGAAAGAAAAGAGATATTTTAATAATCATTTAAATAATTTTTCATTTTATATTCGCAAAGATTTTTTTAACTTATGCTTTTCATGAAAGAAAAGAGATATTTTAATAATCATTTAAATAATTTTTCATTTTATATTCGCAAAGATTTTTTTAACTTATGCTTTTCATGAAAGAAAAGAGATATTTTAATAATCATTTAAATAATTTTTCATTTTATATTCGCAAAGATTTTTTTAACTTATGCTTTTCATGAAAGAAAAGAGATATTTTATATCACTATAAATGCGTTTTCTAATGAACAAATTGGTAGAAGAATTAAACAAACAAATTATTGCACAAACATATAATATATGTTTTCTTTATATGAGTTTATAAACATTTTTTATAAACTTATAAATAAACTTTATAAACATTTTTAATTATTCGTCAGGAAAACGTATTTATTATAATCTCAGTTTAATGCAACTGCAAAATTGCAAAAATTTTTAATTAAATATTGATTTCAAAAATATTTTCAATATAATAAGTTTTTTTTATTTTAACAAATTGTTTTTTTGTTTTTTAATTTAATGATATTTTAATTATGATATTATAATAACAATTTAATATACTAATACTATTGGCAACATTTCATAATATATAATATAATTTAAAATTAAATTATTATTACAATTACTTTGTTTCCAACAAGTGTACATTATTATATTTATTAATTAAGTTTAACTAAAACAATTTATGTAAAATTGTTTTTTTTTTCATTTCGTGAAATATTTCTTTATTGCAATTTTGCCATTATTTCAAATCAATGATATATTATTATTATCAAATAATTACTTATAAAAATAAATATTTATGTAAGAAGCTTTTACACGATTATTTAGATTAACTTAAAAATTGAACAAAACTTCAACAATTATTTCTGGATTCTATGAAAGTAATTATAATGATAATAACATAGTATGTATTAGAATATTATTATTATATTAAGCTTCTTGTATTAATTCAATTGAAAATCTTATCGTTTTATCTTTCATTATCAATATTTCATAAATATTCAAATCCGTAGCATCCATAGTATTCAAAATCTACACTAAAGCTCTTAATAAATATAAAATATCTTCAAATAATCCTTGTGCACATCGGCCGATCAATTAAAAATTAAAACTAGTTCAACTTAACCGTTAACAAAACTAATCCTTAACAAAAATTAGATTCACGCATACGTCAAAACATTTTTTCGATAATTCGATCAACAAAGCATGTTAAAAATTCGAATATACAATTTATTTACAATAATTCTGTGCGTTGTTTCACAATTTCTCCGTGTAAAAAAATAAGAAATCTAATAACTCATAGGTTAAAAAAAAAAATAACATGAGGATCTAGTTTCAAATCTCCTCTCTCCACTTCTTCTTTTCAGAAGGACACAATCGAGCAAATCCTTTCGAACAAAAAAGGAGAACGTTCGATTTCCCTTCTTTCCCAAACTTTGGCTCAAATATTGTAGTAATCATCGAGGAGGTTCGAGACCGATCCTTTTCTTTCGTTCATCCCGTCGTTTCATTGCGCGCCGTAGTTATTCTGCTCGGGGTGAGCTGCGTTGTACTCGAGCGCCTTGAGGATGGCCGGTGGTGTTTGGGGGATGTGACTACCCTGGGGTTGGAATCCGTTCTCGTTAGCCACGTAGTTCACTTGGACAACTTCACCGTTCGGCGCGGTGAAAGTGTAACTACCCTGGGCCTGTTGGACCGCACGTGCCTCCGTCTGGGTGCCCACATAGTTAACGTATCCGATTTCCTGCGCCTGGATGCCATTCGCCGTCTCGTAGCTGTAACTGTAACTTCCATCTGGATTTGGACCGTCCAAGCTCTGTCTCAAAATGGGAATGGGGATGGTGTATCCGGCTAAAGAGGCGGCGGTTGTCATGGAAGCGAGGGCACAGAATACGATAATCTGTAACACGAATGTTTGTTTACATTTTTTTTCTTGGTAAAGAGTTAGATAGGGTACATAGGGTGAAATTGTTTCTGAAACGTAGAGGTTATTTATAAAGTTTTTTTTTTGTGATTAGTTAGGCAAAATATATAATTTAATAATTTTTTAAGTACATATGCATTGATAATGGCGCTAAAAGTTTTTGATTTGCTTAGAATCGTTTATTGATGGCAATTATTTATTGATAGTGATTGTAGTCAAAAGATTAATATGTTACATTTATTTTTATATATTTTTTATATAACCGTTTGTAGTGAACCATTTTTGTATCAAGTTCTGAAGTAGTATAATTGTGAATTATTGTATTGAATTCAGTATGTTTTCATACTTAAATATGTGTAGAAAAATATATTGGAATTGCAGTATCGTATGATTAACAATTATATGTAGATCATTAAATTTTGAATCGAAAAATTGTATCTTTAAATTATTGCAACTTTGAAAAAAGTTGGCATAACAATTTATTTATTTATTTTAATATTCATTTTAAAAATTGAATTACTCAATAATTTTTTATATTAATAAATAAAATAAATAACTAAAAATAGTTTTTTTCTAAAAAATTTTTGAGAATTTAAATTATTCTAAATTATTCTAAAACTTAGAATCGTAAAATTTATAAAAATTTTTGAATTATAACAAATTTTGGTTATTATTATAATTTTAGTTTTATTTTTTAATTACAAATATAAAACATATAAAATTAAGAAAAAAGTATTCTTTTTAACATATTACTTGGCATTTAAGTTTAAAAAAAAAAAGAAAATTAAAATATTATTATATTAAATTAATGAATAAAAAATTGTTTTCTAGAATTTTTTAATTTTTTAAAATAATCAAGCAATATAGTTACTAGAATGCCAAAAGTTATTTAACTAGAGGAATATGTATGAATTTCAGAGTTTCAGATTTTAAAGAAACCTGGGTTACACTATGAATAATACATAATACTGCTTAAAAGTTTCTTGCAAGAAAAATGAAAATAATTTATAATTTCTGAACTAAATATATCATGTACATTTTGATTAAAATAATAATAATTAAATTTTTAATTTTAGTGAAAAAAATAATTTTAACTTTTATAAAAAAAAACTAATTTAACTAAAAAAGTTGACTAAAAAACTAATTTACAAAATATCTTTACTTTTTATGAATATTAATTTTATATAAAATGTATTGAATTATAATATGTTTATAAATTTTATAAGATATATTCTATATAATTATATATAAAAAATAATTAATTTTATTAAA